TTTTGAATTTTTTATGTTAACTCCGTACTGTTTTCCATAGTGGGTGCACCAATTTACAATCTGACCAACAGTACCTGAGGGTTCCCTTTTTTCTATATCTTCACCAACACTTGTTATTTCTTGTCTTTTTGACACTAGCCATTACGACTGGTGTGAAATGATATATTGTTGTGGTTTTGATGTGCATTATGGTTTTGATTTCCCCGATGAGTAGTGATGTTCAGCATCTTTTCATGTGTCTGTTGGCCATCTGTATGTCTTCTTTAGAAAAATGTCAGTTCAGGTCCTCTGTCCATTTTTAAATCAGATCATTAGGATTTTTAGTGTTGAGTTGTATAAGTTCTTCATATTTTTGGATATTAACCCCTTATTGGATATATCATTTACAAATATATGAATATGTCTCCTCAGGCAAGGAAAACAAAAATAAAAATAAACTATTGGGACTATGCTGAAAAAAAAGCTTTTTTGCATGACAAAGGAAACAATCAACAAAAAAAGGCAAACTTTTGTTTTGTTTTGCTTTTTACATTTTTGCAAGTTTCTCTAGTGTGTACTGTAACAGAAGACAGGGAGATTCTCATACCTGTGGCTGCACTCAATCTTCTGTGATATATTTTTAAACCTGAGAAAAGAACTCTTTTAGACAAGGAGATTATTGAACTTTTCCTCCATTAGCACAGTCCAGTAACTGGGATTGTGAAAATTGTGAGAATTTTGCAGGAGAAATCCATATTCACACAGATATGTGGTTGGTAAAGGGAAGGCATCATAAGACCTCCTGAATGGGTTTCTGGGGTTCTTGAAACATACTTTGAGTACTATAGAATATTGTTAATCATAGAATGTACTCCAAGAAGCATAAAAATGGCCATGCTTAATTGTCTAAGACATGTCAACATGTCTAAGACTTTCAGAATTTTTTTTTATTTTGCCCTGAGTTATCCTCTATTATTAACTTTAGTCTTTTATTTAGTTATCCCCTCTTACTGTGGAAACAAGAAGAAAATCAAAGTAGTGCTTTCCATTCTTCCAACTTCAATTTTTCACTTGGATGTTCTTTAGTAAGGGTTATAATGCTTATAGACATCCAGCTATGAATTAACTTTAGGAAATTATCTGAAAATTATTTACTTCAACTTTTATTGTTTTACTTTCTTATTTGTTCATTATATATTTTTTTCTGGTTATAAAAATCCACAGTTGGAGTTGAAAATTGTGTAATGACTACTGAAAGCAATTTGATTTAGTCCTTTTCAATCAAAATTATATATGCATTTACTCTTTGACTATCAGTTTTACTTCTAGATAATTAACTGGAGCATTGATTGCACTAGATAAAAATTGTAATAGATAAATATTTGGATATTCTCAGGTGACATAACACATGCCCAGTAGTTTATCCACATGGTAGAAGACTGCGTAATTTGAACAGGAGTGAGAAAGTTCTCTACATAGTAACATGAATATATCCCTTACATGTATTATTAGTTTGAGAAAAGAAGCACAGTACAGAAAATGGTATATTTTGTAAAAAGAAGGAAACATAAAAAAATGTGTGTTAATATTTGCATGAAATTGCAGGTAATTAATTAAGTGGTTAAGGAGGAAAGGGGTAAGGTACTGTTGGGAGGGGAAGGTCAAGAATTTTAAACAAAATGTATTCCACTTTCTGTCTGTATAATTTTGACTTCTCTAAATACATAGTAAGTGGAATCATAGACTATTTGTCTCTCTGTGACTGGTTTATTTTACTTAGTATAGCATCCTCAAGGTTCATCCATGTGTAATATATGTCAGAATTAATTTTTTTTAAAGCTGAATAATATTCCATTTTGTTCCTTTATGACAGTTTGCTTATCCTTTAATGCATTGATGGACATTTCGGTTGCTTTCATTTGTAAAATACTGTGAATAATGCTGCTATGAATATGAACATGGCTGTACGAATTCCTCTTTGAGACCTTACTTGCAATTCACCTTCCATGTCTTTCCCTGGAAGCTTCAAACCTTCAGTAGACTCCAGAGATCCAAGATAGTTGGATTAGACAGATTCTGCAATTGCTGCCCAAGTGGGGAGACAGATGCCTGGTGCTTACTATTTTACCATCTTTTTCAAATCCTCCCTAATGCTAATTTCTAAATGTCACACAGCCTTAAGAGTAAAAACAAGGAAAAGTAAGTAAGAAAGGACCATGAGTCTTAATTTTAGTAGTCTTCTGCCAGATAAAGGATATACATGTGAATTTATTTGATGATATATATTTTGGCCAGATCTGATTAATCAATGAGTTCCTGACAGTGGTGGTGATTGGGGGTGGGGAGGTTGTTGTCCTCATCCTGAATAAATTTGGGGGATTATTGGTGGTGGTCAATTTGAACCACATGAGTATTCCATAGTTAATACTATGTTCTTCATTTTCTGAGAAATATTTAAGGGGTAGTGTGTGGAGGAAGACTGCAAGACACAAAAGACATGTGGGATTGCTGGATGCTATTGTTGATGAAAGGGAATTAAGCTGTCAAATTAGTGGGATCTTTGGTGCCTGAGCAGCCAATGCTATTGTTGATGAAAGGGAATTAAGCTTTGAAATTAGTGGGATCTTTGGTGCCTGAGTGGTCAATGAGGGAAATTATAACATGAAGTTGGACCAAAATCTCCATTTAAGTCTGAATTCTGGAGCTACCTGCCTCCACATTCTCATGTTTCTTAAAGCCAAAGAATGAGAACTGAAACTTACCAGAAAATATTGACTACTTAATATATATAGAATATAAGTCTTTGTAAAGTTATTAAAACTAGATATTTCAGATACAGTCAAATTAAAAAAGTATTTTTAAGAAGTTAAAGTAGAGTAGAAAAATATACTAGATATGGGTCTTATGAGATAGCAAGAAATTTGGATGAAATATAATTGTAATCCCTTTTAAAATTATTTAATCCAGGGGCGCCTGGGTGGCTCAGTTGGTTAAGAGACTGCCTTTAGCTCAGGTTATGATCCCACGTCAGGCTCCCTGCTCTTCCCGGAGCCTGCTTCTCCCTCTCCCTCTGCCTGCCACTCCCCCTGCTTGTGCTCTCTCTCTCTCTCTCTGTCAAATAAATAAGTAAAATCTTTTAAAAAATTTATTTAATCCAAATCAATAACAAATTCAGAACCAGTGAGGCAATACACATAAAAATGCTCTATAGTCTAAACAGTGGCTAAAAAATTCCCTGAATATCTTGGCATCAGAACTAGTGAACACCTCTGCTGGTTTTGAATGCTATTATTCTTCAGAATAGTTATGAAATTACTCTTAAAAGTACCATATAAATATGCAATAGTAATATTGTTCGACAAATCCACACTGTAAGTAAGAATGCACATTTCATGAGCAGAGTCATTGTATCATAAAATGTATCATAAAATATCATTAAGATTTGTCAATTCTTACAGATCATCCAGCATATGCAGTTTACACTATAGAAAAGAAAATTATGATAAAGAATAAATAATTTGTTTCAGTTAGTAAAAATAATTGGACAAGAACTGGAGCATGTGATTCTCCATTTTGAAGTGTTTTTATTTACACAAATACTTTACTATAGATAGAATTTCTATTGAAGAGTTCATTTGCATTTTAATTATCTAATGGGTTAAAAATATTTATTGTTGTAATAAAAAATAGTCATTGTGCTATTGCAACTATGTTTATTATAACAAAATGAAAAGCATTACATTTTGATTAAAGTGTTCTTTTCTGTAATTACAAAAGAACTAAAACAAGATACAGAAAGTCAAATTTCAGTGTACTTAAAATGCAGAGTTAATGTCTGAAAACAATCCATCCTATTGTAATACTTGTAATTACTATGTTACTTTAGAGACAGCATGTCAGATCATGTCCCTTGTATCTAAATTCATAAAGGCAGAAACTTGATTTATTGTGCTTAATTGCTAAGATACATATCAGTTCCTACCCCCACCATCAATGGCAATAATACAGCATCAATGCTGATCTGAATGCTATTGTAAAGATATTTAATTATTATCAAACTTCTAAATGCCTGTCTGGTCATGTTGTTTAGGATATATAAAAAACAATTCTATTAATATAATTAATTTTAGGAATATTTTTTTGTCGGATTCAGTTGAAAATCATAAAAGTGTGCATTAAATAAAAATTTATGCTGTACTTTGAAATTTGGCATCTATTATGGATGCTATTGATTTGTTTATTGCAAACAGTACATTTTAGTAACAGTTTCAACATGTCCAAAATGTGCAGCATATACAGTTTTTGCAATGTAATTAGTTAGAAATTGGGGAAGTTTAATTTTAAAATTGAATTGTTCATGTGAATCTATTTCATACTCTCTATGGCTTGAGCATTTTCTCTTCATAAATTGTTCTATAGTTGTGTGAAGAAATTAAGTGCAGTTAATCAGAAAGAACATTATAGTTTGACACCTAATTTGAAAGTCCTGTCTTGAAGCAGTGAATGATTGCTTATAGAATTACATATACCGATGAGGACCCAAATAGGAAATCCATTTATGCTCCAAGTAGATCTCAGTGTTGATGTCAGTCAGGGTGGTATTGTCTGTCTTTTTGTGAGAAATATTTCATAAAAGTACATATATAAAAGTATATATAAAAGTATATGATCCAAGAGCTTTTCTTGGATTCTTATATATAAAATAAAGTACATATAAAAGTATATATATATATAAATTTGTTAAATGTCTCATTTCTCATTTAGTTTGATAGGTTAAAATAATAAAATAACATCAGCATGAATTATTTAATTGTACATTGGAAGGGAGATCAGTGGTCTTAAAGTCATCTTACAGTGCAACCAAGTCAGTCCTGTCGATGTAGTACAGAGGTAAGAGAACAAGTTCTAAAGCTTAGCATTTTAACAAAAACAACAACAAAAAAGTAGTTGTAAGAAAGTCCCAATGGTGTTGATGAAATGTTTTGCATCTCTATTTCATCCATGTTCATCTCTTTTTTCAGTGCCGCCAGTGATCACAATGCCTCAGAAATCCTTTAATGCCACAGCAGAGAGAGGAGAAGAGATGACATTATCCTGCAGGGCCTCTGGCTCTCCTGAGCCCTCCATCTCCTGGTACAGGTAGGTTACGCATGCACGTCCTTCTGGCTTGTGTCCAGAATCAATCTCATGGAAAAAGATTTCTGATCTTATTTTATCAAGACTAAAAGCACTCTTTTGAATTTTATTAAAAGGTTATGGTGGTTTTGTTTTCAGTTAAATTGGTTAGATTAAATTGTTAAAGAGATTAACGGAGTGATTTAATCCAAGTTAAAGGCTACACTCATGGTGCTGGTTATTCTTTGTATGAGGCATGTTTCTGGCCAAAATGGGCCCAGAAGCCCAATGACTAATTCAACCACATTAATGTTACTGCTAGAAAGTATGTAGAAATACGAATGCTGGTATTAATGGCTCCACCATCATATGTATCTAAAAACCATTTTATTGGAATGTAATTGTATATCTTAATTATGTACCATTTTATTCAGGAAAACTCATTATGTACAGTTAAATTTCCATAAATGTAATGTCATTTTTAAAAAGCTTACTTCATCAAATGAATAAACTCTCTATTCTCAATCTGTTCTTTGACAGTTTACTTTTATATATTTCTAAAGAAATTTTCAATGTTATGTGATTTCTATTAACCATCAAACAGATAACATATTTCATTCTTTTATGTTATGGCTCTAACTGTTAAAAAGGAGACAATGAAACTTCACAAATGGACAATCTTAAAAATACATCTTAGTTATTAATTCAGGTTACCACTCAAGCATAGCTGTGGATATTCATAGAATCATTCTCCACTTCGTAAACCAAACAGTGTAAGAATAATCACAAGAAAACAATTAGTAGAAATATATTCACATTGGCAAAAAGTAGCCATAGTGAGGATTAGGTTTCTTCAAAAAAACAATTTTAAGAAGAATAATTCCAATCCAATTCCCTTTTTTTCTATTTCTTCCTGAGCACTTACTGATATTCTGCATGTTTCAAACCTTTGTCCATTTAATACAGCAGGTAGCAATAAACAAGATATTTCTTCAAATAAGGTAAATAGATGTTCTTTGCAAACATTAATTCCTTTGTGACATACTGTTGGTATTTTCTAAATGATTACACATCAAACATTAACATATTCACCCCAGATAATGATCCTGTTATCTCAGAGACTTCTGGTTTCTGGTGTGTATCGTTAAGAGTCAATATTACATCTAATTGCAGCACAGAAAAGCTCTTGGATCATTCATTACAATGAACAAATATTGTTCTAGAATCTCATTCTCATCATTTTATCTTTCCAGAGAGACTTCCTTCTGTTTAGATTTCTGTCTTAAAGTTCAACATTTGTTCAAAATTCTCATATTTAAGTGGAAACATAATTATCATACAGGCTAGAATAAATCAAATGCAGAGGTTAACATAGTAAGTCATGTAAATCTATAATTTTGTAATCATTATATCTTCATATGGCATTTGTTTCATCCCTTTAATGGTGTAAATAATAATTGTTCTATTCTCTGGATATTTAATATATAATCGGAGAATGGGAGTATATGATAGTGACACTGACAAAGCTAAAATTAGTATTAGAGGGAAGTTTTTATTTTGACATATTTATATGTAGATACAAGCATGTTATCCTTGCTGAAAGAAAAAAAAAATCCTGTAATCATTAGGTAGTATAGGGCAGCAGTCCCAAGGAGAAAGACTATCTGTTGCACAGAGATGATATTTCCAAGGGATATGAGTGAAGCCAATAAAGAAAACGGTTGAGGACCAAACAGTGGGGAAAAATAAGTTTTCACAAAGAGAATCAGGAGCACTTGGTGACATGGAAGCCAAAGTGGGAATAAAAGCCACTACTCTAGAATATCTCTACCTTCGTTCCATTCAAATGCTTCTTCTACATCTTTTGAGAATATCATATGGATTTTTATCGTTAGCCCACTAATCAGTGAATTCCATTGATTTTCAAATGTTAAAACAGTTTCACATTCCTTGAATTGAACCCACTTGATTATCCTATATTGTCCTTTTTATATATTGCTGGAGTCACTATGCTAATAATTTATGAAAATTTTTGCAGTCACGGTTATGAGAGATACTGTGTTTTTGTGTTTTTATTCTTGAATTGTTTGGGGTCAGAGCAATACTGACCTCATAGAATGAGTTAGGGAAGTGTTTCCTCTTTTGTTTTCTGGTAGAGTGTATATATAATGCCTATTATTTTTTACTTAACTATTTGGAAAAATTTCCAGTGAAACAGTCTGTGCTAGGACTTTTCTTATGTAAAGGTTTAACTACAAATTCAAGTTCTTTCATAGATCTAGGTCTATTCCAGTAATATCTTTGTCTTTAGTGATCTCTGGTGATATATATCTTTCCAGCAATTTGTTCATTTCATTTCAGTTTTTTTACTAGCATAAAGTCACTTACAGTATTCTCTTATAATACTTATAATTTGTGCATTATCTATATTGGTCTTTCCTCTCTCATCCTGATAACCTGGTAACTGGTTATTTGTTCTCTCTCTTTTTCATCTTGATCAGTCTAGATATAGTTTTATAAAAAGAATGATCTTTTCAATGATCAGCTTTTGATTTCAGTCATTTTCTATTTTGTTTTTCTATTTTCTAGTTCATTGATCTCTGCTCTTATTTTTATTATTGTCTTCCTTTTGTTTACTTTGTGCTTAATATTCTTTTGTAGTGACTTAAAGTGGATACTTATGTCATTGATTTCAATCATTTATACTTTCCTAATATAAGCATACATTTTTCCCTTTAAATAATACTTTAATTGCATCTTACTAATTTTAATATGCCATTATTGTCTAGTTCAATTATATTTTTTAAAGATTTTATTTATTAGAGAGAGAATGTGAGTGTGAGTTGGGGGAGGGGAAAAGTGAGAGGGAGAAGCAGGCTCCCCGCTGAGTGCAGAGGACCCTGAGATCATGACCTGAGCTAAAGGAAGACAGTTAACTTCACTGAGCCACCCAGGTGCCCCTTTATCAAATATTTTTATTTTTTTCTTGCAATGTTATTTTGTTTGTTTCAAGTTTTATTTAAATTCCAGTTAGTTTACATATGGTGTAATATTAGTTTCAGGTGTAGAATTTTAGAGATTCATCACTCACATATAATACACAGTGCTCATGGCGAGTGCCCTCCTTAATCCCCATCACCCATTTAACCCATCCCCCCTCACTGCCCCTCCAGCAACCCCCAGTTTATTCTCTATTAACAGTTAAGATTCTGTTTTATGGTTTGCCTCTCTCTCTTTTTTCCCCCTATGTTCATCTGTTTTGTGTCTTAAATTCCACATATGAGTGAAATCATATGGTATTTTTCTTTCTCTGACTGACTTATTTCACTTAGCACAGTACACTCTATCTCTGTCCACGTCATTGAAAAACGCAAGATTTCATTGTTTTTGATGGCTGAGTAAAATTCCGTTACACACACACACACACACACACACACACACACACACACCACAATTTCTTTATCCGTTCATCAGTTGATGGACATTTGGGCTCTTTCCATAATTTGGCTATTGTTGATAGTGCTGCTATAAACATCAGGGTACATGTGTCCCTTCAAATCAGTTCTTGTAATGTTATTTTTGACATTGGTTATTTAGAAAGTTGCTGATTTGTTTCCAAATATGTGGGTATATTTCATATGTATTTCTGCTCCTAGTTTCTAACTAAATTCCTTAATTGTCAAAAACATACCTTGTATGATATCAATTTATTTAAAATTATGATCTATATTTTTAAATATTCTGTATACCTACAGAACATTTATATATAAACATATATATATATATGTATATTCATTGTATGGAGTAGTCTCTAAATATCAAATAGGTCAGCAAGTTGATTCCTATTAACATCTTCTACACCCTTACTGATTTGACAACTATTGTCTATTTCGGTGCTCAGTTCTCTCTGTTTTGTTCTATGTCTTTTAAAGTTCTGTTACATGTACAAACATTTATCAGCATCAGATCAGTGTTACCAAAATTATTAAAGAACTTTGTTTAGGAATAAAATGATATGAGATAGAACTTTGGGTCCTTTTATCTCTGTTTTCAATTTTTCATGTCTTTAAGTTCACAAATTATATTGATATATTTTCAAGTTCATTGATTTTTTTTCTTTTGCAAAGTTTAATCTGCCTTCAAATCTACCGGAGTATTTTTCATCACTCTATTTTTTTCTCTCTTTAAGTTTGATGGAGTATTTTATTTTTGAGGTAAAATTGGTATACAGCATTATTAGTTTCAGGTATATATTATAATAATTTGATTTTTGTATACATTACAAAGTGATCACCACAATAAGTCTAGTTACCATCTGTCACCATACAATGTTTTCCCTTCACCGATTTCACCCACCCCCTAACTGCCTTCCCCTTTGCCTTCCCCTTTGACATCCACCAGTCCATTCTCTGTATCCATGAGATTGTTGTGTTTGTTCATTTCTTTTGTTTTTTAGGTTCCATGTGTAAGTAAAATCATATGGTATTTATCTTTCTCTGTCTGACTTATATCACTTAGCATAATACTTTTAAGGTCCATTTGTGTTGTCACAAATGGCAGATCTCCTTTTTTTTCTGTGGGATTTTTCCAGTTTTCTTCTTGTAATTGATTCCTAGTTTCATATCATTGTGGTCAGAAAAGATGCTTGGTATGATTTCAGTCTTCTTAAATGTACTGAGACTTGTTTGTGGCCTGATGCCATTTATCCTGGAGAATATTTCATGTACACCTGAGAAGAATGTGTATTCTGCTTCTTTTTGGAGGACTGTTCTGTATATATATCTATTACGTCCATCTGGTCTAATGTGTTGTGTAAGGCCAGTGTTTCCTTATTGATTTTCTGTCTGGATGATAGATCTACTGGTATAAATGAGTTATTAAAATCCTCTACTACTGTTGTATTGCTGTCAATTTATACCTTCGGGTTTGTTAATACTTGCTATATATATTTCGGTGGTCCTATTTCTGTCCCTTCACTTTAAATCTCTGTGTGCCCTTAGATCTGAAGTGGGTCTCTTATAGGC